CAGGAAGATCACTGCAAATTCAAGGCCAGCCTGGGCTACATAATAAGTTCAAGGCCAGCCCGAACTGTATAGTGAGACCCAGTCTCAAAATAACCACACACGCACAAAACGGAAGCACTGTGTTTCACCAAGTGTTATCATGTGCCTCGGTGGCAGTTCTGGTTTAACTACCTTTTAAAAGTCTGACATGCGCTAAGAAAGCTGAACACACGCACACCTTATGTGACAGCAATTCCGCTTCCGAGTCGGTATGCTAAAAGTGTGTGCAGCAGTGTGGAGGGTGACTTGGGCCACCCAGGCGTGACTGCGCTTACTCCCCAGCAGGGCAGGCTGCACGGCAGTGGCCTCCCTAAACTGGCTTTCAGTCTAGCGAGGGAGTCTGGCCGAGGCTGTGTGCGCGTCTTCATGATAGCAAGTGGCTGGTGTCGGACTAGCGTTGTTCGTCACCAATGGCCACGGCTGAGCTCGCACAGCCGAGCTGTGATACCACAGGGCTAAGACCTGAGATAATGTCTCTGCTCAGGCCTGCATGACTCCAAGGAAAATCCCCCCAGGACTGCCTACCAAGCAGGTTACTCGTTAACCATAACCCACATCTGGCTGTTCCGCCCCTTCCCCAAGAATGCTTTGTACCCCTTCCTTACAAGTCTCGCCTGCCCGGCCCCTCGGGTAGTGCATCCGGCCGCCATTTTCCTTTATTTGACACTATCCGTAAATACCGAGCTTCTGGCTGCCTCGTGCCTCTGCGAACCACTGGTCATCCCAGATCCCTGCAGCAGCGCTGCTTTGTCTCTTGTTCTTTCTTTTCCCCATGCACCGTAAGACCCGGCAGGAGATTGGAGCCCACTGCAGGGTCCCCAGTAGAGCAGGACACATGTCCAAGAATGTATGCAGCAGTAAGTGAGCCAATCTGTGAATAAACAGGTATAAACACCCATGGAATACCACGCAGCAGGGGAAAAAGCAATAAACTAATAACTGTGGCCGAATCTTAGTAACAATGCTGAGTGGACACAAAAGGAAGGAGCGTGCCTCGGAAGAGTATATCCATAATGAAACTTTATATAGTTCAAAACAGTAAAAAAAAAAGGGGGGGCGGCTTGGACATAATATGCATACAGTAATGTAGTTTTTGTTGTGCTGGGGATGGAACCCAGGGCCTCACACATGCTAGGCAAGCGCTCACCACTGAGCTACACCCCCCAGCTCCTATAATGCTAGCTTTTGATTTTTTTTTTTTTTTGGTTTTTCTCCGGTACCAGGAACCGAACTCACGACCTTGCGCTAGCCAGGCAGGCGCTTTTGCCACTGAGCTAAATCCCCAGCCCAGTGCTAGCTTTTAAGAAGAAAAACACTCTGCAGTCCTTGGGTCTTGGTTCTGCACCTGTCCCTGACTGAAGTATTCCAGCCCAGGGGAAACTGAGGCAGAGAGAGGTTGACCTCTAAGAGCTTGAACGCTTGTCAAAGTTGGGGCTCCCTCGTGTGGTGAGGCCACGGGGTGATGGTCATCTCCCCGTCCGGTCGGAAAGTCATGCGCCACTCCGCCCTGGGGCCCAGCTCGCCGGGCTGCAGCCAGACCCGGAAGCCGCGCCTTCCCGGACCCGCTTCGAGGGCCTGCAGCCAGCACTGCGCAGGGAAGTAGCGCTGGAGCAGCGCCCGCTGCAGGACCTCCCCGCCGTCCGCTTCCTCCTGGGCCTGCAGGGCCACCACGAGCCCGCACTGCCGGCTGGGGCCGGCTCGGTGGCCGAAGTGGGCAGCTGTGTCCAGCAGCAAGGCGGCCAGGTAGGCGGCCTCCTGGCAGCCCGGATCTTCTGCTAGGTACTCCTCCAGGCCGTCGAGCAGCAGGAGGGAGGGCACCGGGCCCGCGGCCTCATGGGCAGAGCATAGGAGCCGCAGCAGCTCTTGCATGGAGGGCGGGTACTGGAAGCGAATCTTCTAGAAGATTCAGAAAGAAACAAAGGCCTGATTCAACCCAGGCGCCAGAGTCCCCACAGTGACGGCTCCGCTTCTACTCTCCCCACCGCCGCCGCCGCCGCCACGGGGGCTCCAACCCAGGGTCTTTAGCCTGAGCTCCGGCCCCAGGCCTTCTTGTGTTTGTTTTTTTTATCTTGAGTCAGGGTCCTGCCAAGTCACTAAGTCGCCCACGCTGGCCTCGAACTTGCAACTCTCCTGCCTCAGCCTCCCTGAGTGCTGGGACTGCAGACCTGGGCCTCCGGACCCTGCTGGAGCCCTCCTTCTTTGCTTCTTTTCCCGGGCTAGGCTCTGACTTCCTACACAGCTGGCTGCAGGGTGAGTAACGGCCCAGAGCGGTAAACAGTCTCCTCACACCTGATTTTCCAGCACTTGCCACTGTGGCGTATTGACTGAGGCTCAATCTTTTCTCTCTCTCTCTCTCTAAATAGGGCAACCTTTCCAACTTTGACCATGTGGCTTCACTGACACCAATTGCAGCCCAGACCAGACCCGTTTAACCCTTCGCCTTACCCTTAAATCCGCCCTTTGTGCGCCGCTTCTCCCTAACGCCGCCTCATGATTGGGTAGTCCTTCCGTCAATCTTTTTTTTTTTTTTTTCCCCGGTACTGGGAATCGAACTCACGACGTTGCACTTGCCAGGCAGGCGCTGTGCCTTCCGTCAATCTTAACTAAATTCCGCATAGTCCGGTCCTCGCGCATTCCCGACTCCACTCTACTCAAATTTGCCCGCCCACTGCCCCCGCCATTGGCCTACGTACCTGTCACTCAAAGGCCGATCCGCCCCCCCCACTGGCTGGTATACTTCTAGTCCCACCCCACTGTTATACCTGGAGCCGCAGCGGGTCGAGTGCCCCTGCGGTACCACGGGGCAGGCTTTGAAGAGGCCTCCGAGTCAGGAAGAGGACAGGACCTCTACCCTCTCCTGCTGCTTCCAGGGCCGCTGCAAATAGCAGCGCTGTTTTTCCAGAGCCTGGCGCACCGAGCAGCAACAAAGGCGGCCCGGACTCAGCCGTGTTCTCCCCAGTCCCGGCTGTGCTGCCGCGGTTTAGCACTCGCCTCAGTGTCTCCGCCATTCGCAGCAGCGTACTTCCGTCCAATCGGTGGTGCGTTCCCAGCCTTAATCCCGCCCAAGAGGGAACCTCATTGGTTACAGTTGACTTAGCTTCTCTATTGGTCACTTGAGCTGTCCGTCAAAATTAGAGCTCACCAGCTCCTCCCCCGGTGAATAGGCGAAGAACCTAGTCTGACCGTGCAGAAATGGGGGCGGTTGAGCGAGAGAACAGCTTCTTTTGAGGAGCTGTGCTGGCGGAGGCAGTATGAACACTTTTTTTTTGTCAATCAACTAATCGAACAAATGCGAGGGTTGAGAGTTGGAGCAAGACCAAATCATTGACTCAATAAAGTCTCCTGGGGCTGGGGGTTTAGCTCAGCGGCACAGCGCCTGCCTGGCAAGCGCAAGGTCGTGAGTTCGATTCCTGGCACCGGAAAAGTAAAGTCTCCTAGCCTCAGTTTGCTGGCATGTAAGGTGGGGCTCATGATAGCTGAGAAGAGTATTGTGATGGTCACATGTGTGGGGTGTTGCTGGTGTCCCCCAAAGATATTTGTGAAGTGGATAAGCTCTATACAGCTGAATACCGCACAAGTGTTTGGGGCCACAGGCTTAGGTATACATGTATGAAGAAAAAAAGTCTCTTTCCTCACTGGCCTGGGAAAGTGTTTTTGTTGTTTGTTTGGTTGTTTTTTTCAGACAGGGTCTCGCTCTGTAGCCCAGAACTCGCAGCAATCCTCCTGTCTCAGCCTCCCCAGGGCTGGGATTACAAGCGAGTGCCACCACACCTGGCAGCCTGGGGTTTTCTTGAGCCTCATTTGTGCTAAAGGGAGGGAGATCAAAGCCAAGGAAGAGACAGGAGAGAAAAAGAGTGGATGGGAGGCTGAGAGCCAAATACAATATGCACCTTGTTGGCCTTATTTCTTTCTTTCTGTCTCTCCAGGGCGCAGAACAGTGCGCACTGAAGTTTCTAAACACGTTCTCATTAAATCAATAAAGGAAGGAAGTACTGATGAGAAACTGCAAGAAAAGGAGAAACAAGGTGAGTAATCACGATCACTAGCTGGGTGTCCTCACCCAGACGTCGCCCTGAGCTGCCACTCACGCCTGCGTCGCCCTGGCAACCGTGTCTCCTGGTAACTTCCAAGTGGTGCTGTTGCTTGGAGACCCAGGGGGTAGGGCGGAATTGTGGTTTCCTGGGCTTTCTCTCTCCCTCCGGGGCCAGAAAACTGTTCAACAACATCGCCCAATACACCCACTCACACAGCTGGGCTCCCTGCACACACACACATACACACACACACACACAAAAATCATGGCATCTCTCTGTATATTCCGTTTCCAGAATTCTCATCATCCACATACAACTCCACCCTACACTGACACAAAGCACCCTCTGCACACTCTGTCCTACATTTTTCTTTGCACAAACATGCCGGAGACCACTAGGAAGCAGACCTGAGCCGGACTTCAGTGAACCAATTTGCTCTTCATGTTCACTTGTGAATCTGCCCAAGGCCTGTGCTCCTTATCCGGAAACGGCGGACTCATAGTAAATGAACCTCTGTGAGTCACTAATCCCTGCTACAACCTGTAGTGGTGATGAAGCCAGAAAGCCTCAGAGGATAAGGCAAGATCACAGCCAAGGACACCTGGATCAGATCTCAACTAGATAAAGACCTCAGGCATCTCACTCCTGGGTGGATTAACCTAATACCTTACTTAGAGAAGTCCTCGAGTGGTTCCTCCCTTCTTGAGTACTCCCCTCCCTTCTTCTGATAACTAAATAAATACGGGCCACCCAGAGAAGGTGTTGGTCTTAGCCCCGAGAGAATCTTGAATTCTGTGACAGGGATGTGATCCTCCTGGAACCCTGAAATCATTTCATTTGCCTCTTTTTATTTAGCCTTCACTGTCCACTCGTTCAGGAGACTGCAGACCTGATCAGCCTGCAATAACTAAGGGATATCATTAACCTGATAGAAACGCACACTAGAACACGCTGTGACTTGACTATGTGATCACCACCACACGCTCACACTGTGCAACACTTAAACTTCACTGTCAAACACGGCCTTGCTCCAACAGACCCTCAGTATTACATTGCAACTCTCTGAGAGCACAAGCACTGAGGAGTGACCCACAGAGCACAGTTATATACACAGGACTGCGCAGAACACAGCCCCCACCACAGGTCCTTTGCACTTGCTCTTCCCTCGCTCACAGCAGGCAGCTTGCAGATACCCCCCCCCCTTTGTTTTGAGACAGAGTCTCGCTATGTAGCCCAGGCTGGCCTCCAACCCACAGTGATCTTCCTTTATCCTCCCTAGTGCTGGGATTACAGCCCTATGCCACCATGCCTGGGCCCTTTGGGTTTTTTTTTAAATCCCACTAGGTCTTTGATGGAACATCACCTACTTAGAGAGACTCTCCCTGACCATGTGTCCCAAATTGCACACCGTTTTGTTGTTGTTGTTGTTGTTGTTGTGTCGTTTTGTTTCGTTTTTGTAACATGGAGTCTCCCCACGTTGCTAGGCTGGCACTGAACTCCTGGGCTGGAACAATTCTTCCACCTCCCGAGTAGCTGGGACCACAGGTTTGAACCACAGCACCCAGCTTAGCCTGTACTCTTTAGCTACTTATTTATATTTCTCTTCAAATATCAGTGTCAACATTGTGCCTGTCTTTGATGGCATTTCTCTCCTGTAGAACATGGGCTCTGCAGGAACAGAGTCTTTGCTTTGCTCCCTACCGGGGCCCCGGCTCCAGGCACGGACCCTGCCGCCCCGTAGGTGCTCCAGACTGCAGGCCGAGTGAGAAGACTCCGCAGCGATGCCGACATGCGCTTATCTCTGGAGAAGATAGTTCTTCCTCTTACTTCTCAGAATTCTGTCTTCATGTCTTTACAGAAGTGTGCTTAAGATAGAGAAGCTCAAAAAAAAAAAGTTTAAAAAAATGAGGACCAGGGATATAGCTCAGTGGCACAAACACCTGCCAGGTAAGCACAAGGTCCTGAGTTTGATTCCAGGAATCAAAAAAAAGGTTAAAAAGAGATAGAGAGGGGCTGGGGATTTAGCTCAGCAGCACAGCGCCTGCCTGGCAAGCGCAAGGTCGTGAATTTGATTCCTGGTACCGGAAAAAAACTAAAAAAAAATAGAGAGAGGCTCAGCTGGGTGCGTGGCGCACACACCTATCATCCCAGCACTCTGGGAAGCTGAGGCAGGAGGGTCAGGAGTTTGACTTCAGCCTGGGGAACTAAATAATTTAGGAAGACCCTGTTTCTAAATAAATAATTACATACATACATAAGGGCTGAGGATGTAGCTCAGTGAGAAAGGCCTGGGTTTGACCCCAGGAAGTCCTGAGATCTGTCCCCAGTGCTGCTGGTCCTTAAGAAAGGATCCATAGAGCCGGGCGTAGTGGTGCACGCCTGTAATCCCAGCACTCGGGAGGCTGAGGCAGGAGGATCGTTGCAAGTTTGAGACCAGCCTGGGCTACAAAGTGAGCTCAAGGGCAGCCTGAACTGCACAGGGAGACCTGGCTCAAAAAAAAAAAAAAAAGAAGGTAAGGATCCATAGAGAACTATAGCTGCTGCAAGTGGGACTGGACCCAGGGATAAAGCGCAGGGAAGTGAGACAGTCAGGGCAAGCCTGCATCTCTCCTTGGTATATTGGCATGCTCAAGAGATTAGTTCATTTGATAAACGTTTGATTTTTTTATTTGATTTTGTAGTGCTAGGGATGGAACCCCAGGGCCTTGTGCATTCTAAGCAACTGCTGTACTGCTGAGATCCACCTCCAGCCCCCAAAGCATTTTTTGAGCACCTGCTGTGTATCAGAACTTGTTCTAGGCACTGAAGACTTAGCAGTGAAGAAACAACGAAGTCTGCTAGTGAAACTGACATCCTAGTGAGGTGGGGGAAAACTTTAAGCCTAGAGGTGGGGGAGATAATGACCACTTAATGAGAAGCTTTGTGGGCAGGGATGTAGCTCAGCAGCAGGGCACCTGTCTGGTAAGTGGAAGGTCCTGAGTGACCCCCAACACCCCAAAAAAGGGAAACCCCAACAGTAGGAGTGGATGGCAAATATATTTGGTTTGGGGTGTTTTGTTTTTGCAGCACCAGATAGGATGGTCAGTGTTGGCTTCGCTGGGAAGGTGACATCTGAGAAACCACTTGGACAAAGTGAGGCTGTAAATCAGGCGCATATCCAGGTGGACACAGCTTGAAGCGCTAAGGCCACTGGAGCACTGGGAGACAGAGGATGATTGTGTCCTGACTTCTAAACCAGAGCTCTGTTTTGCCTCAGTTGAGTTTGTGATTTTTTTTTTCTCTTTTTGAGACAGGGTCTCGCTATGCAGTTCAGGCTGGCCTTGAGCTCACTTTGTAGCCCAGGCTGGTCTCAGACTCGCAGTGATCCTCCTGCCTCAGCCTCCAAATTGCTGGGATCACAGGCATGCGCCACCAGGCCTGGCCTTTGTCTTTGTTTTTGTCTTTTAGATTTTTTTTTGTTTGATTTTGTTTTTTTTTTTTTGATATAGGGTCTCGATATATAATTCAGGCTGGTCCTGAACTCACTATGTCTCCTAGGCTGACCTCAAACTCACAGTGATCCTCCTGCCTCAGCCTCCCGAGTGCTGGGATTGCAGGCATGCACCACCACACTGGCAAGTTTATGCTGTTTTGAGACCCACAGTGTTGAGCAGGCTTCTATGTACTTTTATTTTTGTATTTCCACCTAAGATACCCCTCTCAAGTTGGCAGTGAGTGCAAGAGGACCGTGACTACCACCTTCCTTACTGGAACCAGGCTCTAGTTTATTTCCCCTTTCTCGTCCCTATTGTAAAGCAGCACCACGGACAGCGACAAGCTGCGGCCGAGGGCTCTGTCCTCGGTTCTGAAGTTTTGCTTCTTTCCTGACCCAAGTAGAGGCAGCTTCAAATTCAAGAGGTACCAAGGTTCTCGGGTGTGTGAACTTTGACACAGAGCCTTGGGAGGTCAAGCAGGAGGCTCCATGTTCCTGTTTATCCTCTGTCTTCAGCCCCTCACACTTCCGTCTTGCCTCACCCCCGGGGCCACCATGAGCCCCCATCTTCCCTGTATTTCCTCCCTTTGTCTCCCTTCTGCTCATTCCGCTCCAGACACACAGACCTCTTTGCTGCTGCCTGCACACATCATGCACATTCCCTACCTCAGGACATTTGCACTTGCCGTTCCCCTTGCCTGAACTGCCAACCCCCCTCCCACCATATTTGCTCAGTTTCCTGCCTCCTACACTTCTTACCTCCAGCCCCCTCTCCTCACGGGGAACTCCCTTGGCCGCCCTCTCTACAGCGTGATCTGTTTCCCTGACCCACAGCCTTCAAGTTTTCTCTCCTCGCGTGACTTTCTCGCTGATCACATATCAGCAGCTCACACATGAGAGATCCTAATCCCTCACATAAACTCTTGATCTCTACAGTTTGGAATTCAGAACTTTTCAGATTTTTGAAAGGCAGTAAGGTGTAAAACACATCTTATAGCCGGGTGCGGTGGCACACGCCTGCAATCCCAGCATTCAGGAGACTGAGGCAGGAGGATCACCATGAGTTCAAAGCCAACCTGGGCTACATAAGCAAGTTCGAGGCCAGCCTCTTGTACATACTGAGACCCTGTCTCAAAAAAAAAAACTAAAAAAATTTAAAAAATAAACCACTGAAACATGACTTACATAACATCCCAACAGGAGTCTAGGGTAACATCCCAAATGTGAACATGGCATCTGCAGTGAAAAAAACAATACTCACATCAAGCAAAATGAATAAAAGCTGTACATAAC